CTTTACTGATAAACCAAGCAGGCATTACGGAATGGACAGGAGGCTAGGTACATGGGCTGGTTAACCTCTTTGCTATTAACAAGTCTACGTGGGCTTGGTTTTGCTTTGCAATGCAAATTCAAATCCCCGCTTAGCTTTTCGCCTCACCTATCTGGGAAACAAATTTCTATGAGGAAGTCTCAGAATGGATTTAAAGACTAATCTTGTATTTTAACAGTTTTTGCATTTTTAGGTGTACAGTCAACCAGGACCAGTTGCTCCAACTCTAGCGAGACACAACCAGTTTGAATTCACACCCAACAGATTATGGCAATTTCAATAGCTGCTGTAAATGGTTGGACTATCTGGAATATTTTTTTCATGTGCAAATAAAATTCTTTGAACGTCAGAGCAAAACTTTTGTCAAGCCTTTTAATTTTAAGCCTCTGAGGGACATGTAGAGGGATGCAGAAGATCCACAAGTATAGTGAAGAAAATGAGCCAACTTGGTGCCACCAAATCTGGATTTATTTTATGTATCGGGGTCTGCATTTTACTGTTTACATTTAGCAATATTAAGGATCTGGATGAGGAAAAACAATTTGCTCCTGAAATAAAAGAATGTGGGTTTTATCCAGGGGAACTATGTAGCGCTATTCTTGAAGGCAAGACAGCTGCTTTGACAGTAGGGAACATTTGTCAATCATTACTCCGTCCATCGCACAATCAAGGCCCAACATGTTTGCAAACTACCACCAACTGCACCACAATAATCCAGGACTTGAACTTCATAACAGAACCACTTTCAAAAGAGGAAGTGGATTACCCTTTGGCATATATAATAACCATACATAAGAAGCTGGATATGTTTGTGAAACTTCTCCGAGCCATATATGCTCCTCAGAACATTTACTGCATACACATCGACAAGAAGTCCTCAAAGAGCTACAGTCGAACAGTCCAGAAGTTGACTGGTTGCTTCAGTAATATCATAATTTCTTCAAAGCAAGAGACAGTGGTGTATGCAGGATTTTCGCGCCTGAAAGCAGATATTAATTGCATGGAGGATCTGATTGAATCAGATAATCAGTGGAGACACGTTATTAACCTATGTGGCCAAGATTTCCCCATCAGAACCAATCGAGAAATTGTCCAGTACTTGAAAACCCAATGGAATGGTCGTAACTTGACTCCTGGAGTAATACAGCCACCACACATGAAGTACAGGACAAGCATAAGTTACCAAGAGTTCCAACATATAGGGATGGCTTATGTTTCCCAAACTTCAAAGGCAAAATCAAGCCCACCACACAATATAACCCTGTTCTTTGGAACAGCTTATTATGCATTAACGCGGGACTTTGTAAGGTTTGTGCTGTCTGATCAACACGCAAAGGATCTCCTTGAGTGGTCAAGAGACACGTACAGTCCCGACGAGCATTACTGGGTGACACTTAACCGGATGAAAGGTGAGAGCACATAGGTATTGAAGAACATTCCTATTTCTTTTTAGGTGTCCTGGAGAAGTTTAAGAACACCTCTAGGTTTGAACATTGGTGTCACATTCATTTTACATCACCCAACAGACAAATGCATAGTTTGATCAGTACATAGTGCAGGAAAGTAGTTAGATAAAGGGGCATTTTAAGTAACATAACCACTAGAATTTAATGTAGTGGTTATGTTGCCATGAGTCTCTGGGTGCTGTAAACCAGGCTTTTCTCAAACCATCTAGAAGCATTGTGACAAAAACTGGGGCTCTGCCCAACATTTAGGGAAAGCCTCATCTTGGGCACAGTCCACTAAGGTCGACAGTGGCATGCGGACAGTGCTTTCACCCAGACAGCATGCACACAAAAATTAAATCTTCCCCCCTTGTCCCCCCCAAAATCATGCAGATTCCGATGTTTTCCACGAATCCCCATGTTATATAGCTTCTTGCAGTGATAGATACCCACACACAAAAAAAAAAAAAGTGTAGAGGACACCTGCCTACCAAAACTAGCTTCCCTGTTTTTCCCCCCATTGGGAGTTGTATTTGGCAGCAATCCCCGTCATCAGATAGTTTGAAGGATACTGCTACCTAATCTGGTACCACCTGCACTACTTACTGATAGTAAGGAGCGGGAAGCACTGCTTATGCCAGCGTGATGTATAGTTATACCAGCTCCAGTCATCCCCACAGTGTTTATGTTGGTGAGGGAAAGAGGAGCTATTCATAAAGTGATAGTTCCTCTTTAAGTACAAAGTCACGTTATTTACGAACATAATAGAATGTCTGAAAACTAAAGCTGGCAGCAGGAACATTGACTAACTTTTATTTCATAGATGTCCCAGGTTCCACTCCTAATGCGCAATGGGAGGGGAATATCAGAGCGGTAAAATGGAAAGATCAAGAAGGCGTGTCTCATCCTGGATGCTTTGGTAAATACAATAAAAAAATAAATAATCATTCATCACTGGGGGCGGGATAAGATATCTAACGCCATATTTTAAAAGTCGCACACGAAAGGTACACTTAATCAGATAAATATTAAAACTTGCTTCTTAAAATAAAGTTGTGCTTTGCTAAAAACATTTACTTGTTCTGATCTTTAAAAAAAAAAAAGAGTGTATATTATTCAAAACTTACATTTGAGGACATCCTTTTAATTATTGATATTTTCTTTTTTTTACCATTGAGATATTACATTAGATTTAGCCATTTTCAGGATTTATGTGTACACTAAAAGGAATATTGTCAAAACATGTTTTTATTTAATATGAAAGATGCCATCCATTATAGACTGTTATTTTGGAATCCATACCGATTTGCAGGGTGTCTTCTAGCTTTCATTAGTTTTATGTGGAGAAACCACATTAAGGCCACTTTTAGGTTTCTAAGATTTCTAAGTTTATACTACAAAAATGATACAACAATGCTATACCATACCATAAAAATCCAAATATATATCATATACATTTATCCAAGAAAAGGGTAAGGAGAGATGGTGACATGGCAGACACCAATAAATCAAGGTCTTCCTTGATTACAAATGGGAGGAATTTTAGGACATTCATACAGTTTTGTGGATACATAGAATAAGCCCCCAGTAGTGGTGGTGAATACCACAGCACGTGATATTTCTACAGAACATACATATAGCTAGTGACAATTAACACAGTGGATAAAGGCTGTGTTTTACTTTCATTTGATGGGTCAACTGGCTCTTTAAATCGACCAATCAAACCCGTATTTCCTTGCTGTTTCAACCCATGTTGGTTTCAGTTTGAAGTAAATTCTATGACATTCCTTCGGCAGGGCAATATGTTCGAGATATCTGTGTATACGGACTTGGAGATCTACCGTGGATCATTGAGTCACCGCATTTATTTGCCAATAAGTTTGACCCTGGATTGCACCCGCTGGTGACAGATTGTTTGGAAAGACATTACAGGCTCAGAGTTCTAGAACAAGCAGAGGTGGAAATAGATCCAAACTGGTATTTGGAAGACAACTACACCAGGAAGCCTGCCAACACCTGACCTAAATCATGTACTATGACAAAGGACGTCCAGTTACAACTTTACAATGAGTAGAAACTTTGTGACGTGCATCATGACAAACGTATACACAATATAACAGTGTTTGACTAGGCAAACATGCATTCTGATGGTTGTCTGGTTTGAATCTGGCACAAGTAATTAAGTGATCCAACCATGATCTCACCACTGGAATGGGAAAAAACAAACAAACTACCAAATGGTGAAACTGTTGATTGAGAAAGAAAGTGACAAACTGCCAATAATTGACAAAGAAATTAATCAGGAATTTAGGGGCTGGACCTTAAATTATACTATTGAATCACAGGCACCCAAATCTAGCGTCTACTATACCCTTAGATTGTAAGCTCTGTGTCACAGTGGATGTTTCCCTTTATAGATCCACATTTTTCTCTGCAGGTTTTCGATTACCTCACTAGACTGCTTCATGTTAGCCCATGTAATTAGATTATATATTTCACTTTCTACTACAGTACAAGACTACAAGATATTAACTTGGGCTATGTCGCTGTGCACATGACCTCTACAATCAATGCATTAATTATTTAGGATGGCATTAACCATTAATAGGTCATAGTCTATTATAGCTATTATAGACATGTTGTGGCTGTTCAACTAAAGTCCAGGTTGAATAAAATGAGGAAATATAGAGGTTTGTGAACTACATCTCCCAATATGTAAGGCAATATGGCTGTCAGTGTTTGGAAGACATATTGCTTTTCTGACAACTTTTCCAGATTGCAACTTTGTTTATAAAGTAACTAATAAACTGACTTAGAAATTATGAATTAACATTACACAGATTTGTACAGAAGTGCTATTTACATATTTAGGACACTGCATGAGAAATGTAAAAACATTTTTTTTTTTTTTTAAATTGTGAGAATGTTATTTACTGGGAGAAAAGAACATTTTGCAGGTGATAAAACATTAACTCTATGTATCAAGCTTAAAGGGGCACTCCACTACCCAAATAAAAAAAAAACACTGTTTATTAGCTATACCACCAATGAAAACATGTATGTAATTGCTGCCTCTTGATTTTAGCTCCACTGAACTAAACAAACCAGGAAATGATTGAGCAGGTTGTCCAAATGACAGTCAGGGGGTTGTAACAAGGTTACTTTATAAATATCCCACTTTCTATTGAATTCTGCACTTTTTTGTAAATAAATAAAAATTAAAAAAAACACTCAACACATAAAACACTTCAGCAAGCTACAGTGAGTTAGTTGTTTGGAGTGTTCGTTTAAAAAGTTTAACTGGACCATAGTCGTGTGTGTGTAATCAGACTTAGGGACAATATTTAATCATTCGTAGGTTAGCGGGCAGAAGTTAAAATTGTAGCAGTTAGGTTATAGTACACATCCTGTTTGTGGTGACAAGAATGTCATAGGTCTGGTTGGTAGGTTAATACTTGTGCGCTTGTGACTGCAAGTCAGAGAGACACACACACACACTTTGGAGCTGAACAGGTCTAGCCACACTGTAAAACTAATTATGTTAATCAGCACAGTAGTAAGATCACAAGTATATAATATACAGGATTTATCGATGTGGAAATTCTCGGGTTGGAAACCACTGATGAGGGAAGGGTGTAAGACAACACTAGAATTATAGAGATTTTCTCTCTAATGTTGGAAGAAATTGTTCCGTGGGGAAAAACTGCTAATGATATTGGTGAGCATAAATAAAGCATTAACAACTGGGAGCTAAGCAACTGGCACTGGGGACTTGAGCACTTACAAGGAGACTAAACCGTTCTAGGTTACCAAATACAATGGAGCTTTTCATGGCATAGATTAAAAAAATATGGAGCAGATTAGACGCTTTTACAAGCTAGAGTTGGGATGTTTGTGTCAGCATGCAGATTTCAACCCAGGTTAGGTTTAGCCAATCCATGAAAAATGTAATAGCCGAAAAAATAATTCACTTACTTTCCCTATCCTCTGGAAGAGCCAGTTCGTGGTGAAACTTGCGTGGGGACATTGTTATTTGTGTGTGTGGCTTGTACGCTGGGACGTATTTGTATATATTTATATGCTTCACTTCTTTAAAAAAAATGTAATATGTTTCAATTAATAAAAGTTAAGTTTTACAAATGGGTAACTTTTTCAAGAAGGGTTTTGCTATCACGTTTTCCCTTTTTTCAGTTTCTTGGTATATGAATGTTCCTACTAGGGGTTACACCCCAAATTCTTATTGAGTAACCGGACACATTCTCATGTTCTACTTAAACATATATTTTCCCTATCAAATCCTTAGTTGCCATCCTCCCCAGCACAGTGCAGGCGAATGCGTAGAACAGCGACTAAGAGTGGGAGACACCGACCTCTGATACACAGTGGCCTATCTTTTACTAACTGTATTTACAGTTTAGAGTATTAGAGTAACATACAAAAAGAATGTTGTACTTTTTGCAGCCATTTTGAGAATATGGTTTACAAAAAAAGGATTTAAAAAAAAATAAAAAATAAACTTAAAAATGGGGAAACTCTTTATAAATACCCATTAGCTGGGTAGCCATTATGCTGCCCTAAAAATAAAAGGTTTCATTAAGTGCATGAGCATCGTTTATAGAAAATGCAAAAAAATAATAGTGTACAGGATAGATCAATGCAATCACAGTGTATGTGTGAGGTCATGAAAACTATCCAGGTG